AGAATGACTGTCCAGGTGTTGGTTGGGAATATTGGGGGAGATTTTGCTGTATCAAGCTCTCCGTCAATAGATCAAGATCATAGGACAGACTGTCGCCCACAGGTAACTGGGGTAAACCTGTTAATGCCGCTAATTGAGCCAAAAAGGCCTCCTGCTGGGCATCTGTCCATGAGTTTGGTTGTTTAAGCCATCGAAGAATTTGCTTACTACTCGCGTAAGCAGGACTGGTTTCCGGCAAGGCTCCTGTGGAGGCCGAGCGCGGTCTGTGGTATTGACGGGTGTTCTTGTCCATAATGCAAATATCAGCGCTGAGTGATTATATAGAGATTCATAAATCCGTTGGAACTGTGAAGTATGGGGGAGACAACATAATACTTAGGGTGGCATAGATGCATGAGGCCGGGAAGCACTTTGTAGTCGATTCGCCATCACTAGGCAAAATTGCGACAACTCTAGCGAGACAAACGTCACCGATAAGTACTAAGTATTACTCCGGCGTCATCTTCTCTTTGTGTCCGCTGTTACAGGACATTTGCAAGGAACGGTTAGAGCCGCTTAACATTTTACGTCTAACTGTCTTCGTATGCCTGATGTAGTTAACTGTCTTCGTATGCCTGATGTAGTTAACTGCCTTTGTATCTGAGTATACATTGCGCACTCTGGGAGATGAAAATATGACATATACTAAAGTGTCAATCTACTTTCCAGGGACCCCATCGCAACGTCTGCAAGCTGCCAGCAACTCGCCCTCAGGAATCCTCTCTGTCCGAGCTCAAGATGCGCAACGAAGCAACCTAAACTGAGACCATACCAAATAAGCACGTGGATGTTACGCGTTTCCTAATAGTAATGATGTACGCGTCACTCATTCTTTCATTACAAGCACATCATGGTAGCGCCTTTACTACATGTGCTCCTTATTCACGAACTGATGGCCTTCAGTTAATCAGGATACGATCTAAGGACGGTAACTTCCGGTTTGAACTCTCTCCCAATAGTAATTCAAATGAGCTTTTGAATAAGGTCAATAATACTGCGTCATGTCGTAGGGGCCATCGCTGAGCTCATTTTCCAGATTCTCGAAACAGCACCTGATGCAGATGTTACAACCATCTCGATCTCCAACCAACCGCGCGGAAATGAGGTCCTACTGACAAGTTTGAAAGGACGGACCTTGAAAACCTTGGGACTTAAGTGGGTACTTTACTACGATCGCAACGAATGACTCAAAGAATATAGTCATGGAGACCTCGTATTTGTGCAATATCAACCAAAATCCCACCTGAATGGCGACATTGATTCGGAGACTAAAGGGACAGTGATGCCTGCGACAGGGGATGTAGTAAAAAGACCATGGGAATCGGTTCAAGAAGATCCTGTCGATATTTACTGGCGTTCGCAAAGCGGAAAGATTCCCCGTGGACGCGATGCGCGCTTCTGCAAGCACGGAATAAATGGAATGTGCGATTATTGCACACCACTAGAGCCTTACGATGCCGCCTACCACAAGGAGAACAATATCAAATATCTTTCTTATCATGCCTACCTACGCAAACTTGCTCCCACACCAAGCGCGTCAGCGTCATCGGCTCTCCCACCTCTGACACCCTTGTCGTACAAAGTCAAAGTGCCTTGCGCAAGTGGACATCCTCCTTGGCCCGCTGGTATATGCACAGCGTGCCAGCCGTCCACGATCACACTGCAATCTCAACCGTTTAGGATGGTTGACCATCTAGAAATAGCGTCGACAGACGTCATCGAGCGATTCTTACAGTCGTGGCGTAAGACCGGTTTACAACGGTTCGGTTGGCTAATCGGGCGTTATGAACATTATGACAAGGTACCCATGGGTGTCAAGGCTATCGTCGAAGCGATATATGAACCCCCTCAGCAAGGAGAAATCGACGGTCTTACGTTGGGTTGGCCATGGGAAGAAGAGTCACGTATCCGTGAATTAGCAACATCGGCATTCACACCCCTGACTGTGGTTGGATACGTCTTCACAGATCTGAATCCAACTCCAGAAGATAGGACAAAGAATATCTATAAACGGCATTCTCAGTCATTTTATCTCTCCTCTCTGGAGGCCATATTTGCGGCTACACTGCAAAAAGATAACCCGGTTCCTTCTCGCTCTTCCCCCACGGGTCAATTTGGTTCTCGGCTTGTAACTGCGGTGTTGACAGCTACGGAAGACGGTCAGGTGGACATTGCGGCATATCAAATTTCTGAACAGGCTGTCGCAATGGTCGAGGCTGATATGATTGAAGCAAGTATGGAGCCTAATATTGTCAGGGTCAAGGAAGAAGATAGGTCGGTAGACTCGGCGAGATACGTGCCTGATGTCTTTTACTCTTACAAGAACGAGTACGGCTTGGAGGTGAAGAAGAGTGCCAAGCCTTGTTTCCCCGTGGAGTATCTCATGGTCAACGTAAGCATCTCAATGTCAACGAAATTAACATGTTTGATTTTTGATTTCACATTCATAGGTCACCCATGGCTTCCCGCAGAATCCCGCGCCGCTGTTCCGCTCGACTCAGTTCCCTATCGAGAATAGACCGGGATTAGAAGATCAAAACCTCGAGCTAGCTCTGAAGCGTCTGGCCCAATTAGAAGCACCTTCTCTAGAGGATAGTCGGATCTCAAAACCTGGTCAGGGTAGCAAGAGGAGAGCTTTGGCCGAATGGCTGAGCGATTGGCATCTCGTTACGTTCCTGGGGACGACCCATGTGATTTCTCCAGTAATAATGTTCACTAGGTTTACTCGGCGCATGCTGACAACGTATTCGTAGGACGACCTGAAGATTCTTATGCGGATCGCATCGTCTCCAAGTCTTTTGGAGGATCTGTCCCAGCTCGATCCTTTACTGGCTACGGAGAGCTGGAAAACACTCATGGCTTTGGTTCGAGAAAGTATCCGTACGTCCTAGAACTTTAACCTATTTTCAGCATTGCTCAATGTTCCCCACATGACCAGCCGCAAGGCCAGCCAGCTGCAGCGCCGACGTCTTCGCACATGGACGAAGATATACCTCAGGAAATCTTTGATCAGATCGCCGCGGAAGAAGCTGCCCACGCATCTGGTCGCGAAAGTCCGAGGAACGTTAGAGTGTGTCCACACTGTACTTTCGAGAACTGAGCCCGGTGGGAGCGATTGCGTAATTTGCGGACTGCCACTATAGTGGCATACATAAATAGATGTAGCATTGCAAAAACTTGTATTTCAAATTCAAAAGTGTGTACTCCGTGATGAACGACGAACAGTCCAAAACTAGGATAATGGGAGGAAATCGATACATGCATGTGCCCGATACAATGAAATGCAAACATATAAGGTTAAACAACAGCCTATTGCCAGAAAAGCCACCAAGCAGATAATGCGAGTCCAATCAGAATACCCAAAGCTCTGCCTACGATGACGACAACAAGTGCCTTGCGGACGGCAGCGTAGAACGTGTTCAAAGCAGACCCGGACCAATTTATTCTGTCATGACATTCAGCAAGGAACACTTTGCCAAGTTAATCACACGTACCGCCGATCGTTTGCACCGCCGGTTCGTAGACTAGTATCCCAGCCACGGATGACTTCACGATACCGTTTGCCGAACACCCTGACGTATATGAGTGATCACAAGGTACCAGTATTAACGATCTGCTTACCAAATCCAGAAATTAACATCAGGGTACGAAAATCGGGGGAATACGCTTGCAAGGCTTGGCGCCACGAGATCAACTCGCAGATCTTCGGCTACATTTTGATACGGTAACTGCATAACCTGTGCCAAGGGGGTGGAAGGGGGCGTCGCCCCGCTTGGTGAGTACGCAGTCTGATTTAGAGGATAAATCATGTATGACATCAGATCAAGTGTCATTCCTAAAGATAAACCCCAAAGTTTGAGTCGTTGGGGTGGTGGCGCTCGTGCATGACCAGTACCCTTTTCGAGTACATCGTGAGTACTTGTGGGCTTTTCGTTAGCAGACGCACGTGTGGAAGGCTTGAGAACAATAGCAGGATACTGCATGGTACCAATGAGAATCTGAATTAGGAAACGAAGGGTGGGAGAGTGCTTCGACACTAGGCGAGAGGCAGCATCAACAGTGACTGAGGACCATTTTGGAGGGGAATCGGGGGAGACAAGGCTAGATAACGGGGTCCAGTGCAGAGTTGTGGTTGATACGGGATCGGTCATAGGTGCATGCGGCGTGAGCTGTAGGAATACGTAAGGGGATAGGATAGTGAGAAGACGCTTCCCCAAGGAAGTTGTGATTTCGCGGTCGTCGAGCTGGCCTATAAGCATGTAGTCTTTTTCAGCGAGGTCTACGCCAATCTCTTCCCAGGTCTGGCGCATGGCTAAGAACAGCTTAGTTAATGGCTCATTCAAACAGTTTGGGTTTCACCTGTATATAGTCCACCCTCGTCGTCGGGGTCCGTCCTTCCGCCGGGAAAAGCTACCTGCGCCTCTCGCGATCTTGACCCCGTCTCCAATAGTGAGTTCTCTCGGTGAAGGAACAAGATCTCTGGACGCGCATTGGGATCTTTAACCCAGTCTAGTTCGAAGAATTCGCTGAGATTCGGGGCATTTGTTGATTGCGGAGGTGATGGTGAACTCGGTGAAGGGACAATGCGAATAATCAGGGCTACAGCGGCTCGTCGAGGTTCTAGAGTTATATAATCGTTACTGACGACTGCAATGTCCGGATTCCGCAGCTGAACTCACGTGTTGGAGGCGACGCAATAACGCGGGGTGGGGTTGAGCGAATACGCTGCAGAGCGCGAGCGAGTAATGATACAACAGAAGCGGGCGTTTCTAGGAGGAGATTAGTAAACGTCAGGAATGGAATGGCCTGGTAAACCTTTTGACATGACTGTTCGTGAAAAGAGCTTTTGTCAGACACGCTCAGGTACGCCGCTTTTCCAGTTCTCGGCACGCGACCCCAAACTTTTGGCGATCGGCTTCTTCCGATCTCCCAACTAGAGAGTGACTCATCCGTTCTCAGGCGGTGCTATAGTGTAGTGGTTATCACTTGGGATTTTGAAATAATCTTCCCAAAACCCAGGTTCGAACCCTGGTAGCACCTAAGTTTTTACCAACGGTCCGTGAGAATATTTAGGCCCTGATGCTCTGAATCCCGAACTGATCTGTGGCGCTATAGTGTAGTGGTTATCACTCGGGATTCTGATGTTTATATGTTCCCGAAACCCAGGTTCGAACCCTGGTAGCGCCTTTTTGTTGTTGTTTGGAACTGTGTTACATTGCAAATATCATCCATTACAGTAGGGATATTATATCTCTGCCCAACCACCATCGCGTTCTTGACCACCACTGAAAACAGCGAGTAAAAAGACAATGACACTAGCTCCTAATCGCATGCCCAATCCGCGGTACAATTGACCTATTCCAGTGTTCTTCAACCAGCTTTCGGGTTCGTCCTGGGTACGGTCTTTGCCGTCATTATGACGTCGTCGCGGAGTGATGGGCAGATCTGATCTTTCTTCTATCAGAATGTGCCAAAAGGCGTCGACGATGCCATTGTATGGCGTGGGACGTAATTCGACGCATCCTTTGATGGGCTTCGCGGTGCCTCGGACTTGAACTTGAAGTCTTCTGCGTATTGTTTCAAATGGAAGTGTAATGAGAAGACCGAGGCAACTTCCGCCAAGTTCCGCGAGTCCCCACACAATCGGATTTGTTTCTTCGTTAATATGTGCACCGACGAGCGAGGCAAGTATTCTTGGAAGTGCCAAAGAAACCAGTGGTCGGAGCGTGCTGTCAATGATAGTAGGCAGTAGAAGGTGGGAATGAAAGTAAATTCCCTTGAGACCACCTTCATCACGAAGAATTTTTGAGATTGCATCGAAGGGACCGGAGTATGTGCGATACCGTTTGTTGTACGATTGCACCATTAGACGAGTGCGAACTAAATCTAAAGGAGAGAGTAAGAGGCCAGTAAGGAGATGCGATGCGACCGGAAGAAATATGGGTGGCTGGTGGAAGGGTGAGAGTGAAGGAAAGAATAAAGACTGAAGAATGTTGTGAAATATGGGTTGAGTGGTGGAAGAAATGGCCTCCGTCACTGAGGAGGTCAACAGTCCTGCGGGGTACTTAGCCGAGCTAGATTGAGAGCTAAGAAAAGAAGAGTACCTTTCCAAAGAGCCAACCAGCCCTCGCAGCGGAATCTGCCAACCCGCTTGATCATGCTCCAAACGCCATTTGTACTCCCCACGGGTATGATATACTCGGGACGTGTTCCTTCCTCCATTACTGAGCGACGAATAACATAACCTTGTTCATCTGTTGGCTTTGGTGCTGGATGTTTGACTGTGGGGGTAGTATGAGGATCTACGAAATATGTGTCCTCGCTTGAGGCATCGCTGAGCTGTGGAACACGTGGTAGGATATAGCGCTTTGTAAGAAGATAGCTGGGAAACGTACAGCATCCTCGTTGTCGTATTCCTCGACGACCGTCGCTTCGGGCTCACCTGCATCTCGCGGAACCCACTGGACTTGAAGCAGTAGTTTTCCAACTTCCCAAGGGTTCACAATTGCTGTACTTGTGTACTGGAGGATGGCGGAAGCCACGATAGTTTTCGCGAGTTGGCCAGCATCTATAGTGGAAGGTTCGGCGAAATCGAGTGAAGGTGATAGATCGAAAATAGAGTTGTGAGGTGGGTGGGCAGACCAATGGTAGGATGGTGGTGGCGGAGACGCGGGAGGGGGAGATGGAGATGGAGTAGTGGGGACGTTGAATGCCCAGTCAGAAGTGGGGTCGACGTAAAGGTCGCGGAGAGAGGATGGAGCGGGCATCGCATCGAGAGAAGCGCGTAACTCGGTGACGGTCGGCCCTTAGCCACAATCGTACACACACACGCTCTCACGTGGCAAACAACGCGCAGCATGATGTCGAGATCTCACAATTCTTCTTATGCGCAGCAATACATAATAATGGCATGCGGACAGCCTTCAAATCAACTCATTGCAAGCAGGCAGCCTAGTTCTCTTGCGGGAACGTGACTTGTGACGTGGTTTTAGGTGGGACCGAACAGTGACATCAGACGTGCTCACCTCCACCACCTTCCAACCTCACTTAATTTCAACTAATGGCCACCAACGGGTCTCCGGCACGCGGGTCACCTTCTTCAAACTCACTGCAGGCAGTGCCACAGGTTGTCGTTCACTCTTTCGACCCAGATGCCTCGCCGGCTCAGAAGGGCGCCGCTGCTGGTCGTTCTCGAGATAAGTTAGAAAGTATCATCCCTGACCAGAAGCCAACGTCAGATGCAAAAGGTACCATGTTTTTGCCTATTTATATTGACGCACCTGACACGTTATAGGTATTGCTGTTGACACCGGCCGCTCTAACATCATCCCCACCATCACCGTCTCGGACACGGGAGATGGAAACGTGGTCCATGTCGCCAACGGCGTGGAACCACCTCACGAAGAAAGTTCTGAGGAACAGGATCGCCCACCAGGCGCGATTCCTGCCCGGCCCGTGGATGTCATTCCACAATGGTATCGTGTCGGATGGCGCGAAATGAGTGGAATAGACCGCGTTAAGCCTGAAGGAGAAGCAAAAGACGTGGCAATCTTGGACTTATTCATCTCGGAGCAATTCTACGGCGATTGGTATCATAATGCAGGCCGTCATCGTCTTCGTACGTGCACGCCGTTTTGGGCTTGCTCTGGATCTTACAACTTTCGTCGCGCTTAGGCTGTTTTAGCAACCCATTTCCTAACTAGATTCAATTTCGGGTGGGGTTGGGTATTCATAGTGCTTGCCTTTTGCTGCACCTACTATACCACGTCTATGGAGCGTTTGAGACGTCGCTCACGCGATGATATACAGCGAGAGCTCGTCAAAACGCGTCTAGGATCCGAGTCTGAATCCGCTGATTGGATTAACAATTTCCTTGATCGTTTCTGGCTACTTTATGAACCCATTTTATCTCAGAGCATCATCCAGACTGTGGATCAGGTGCTCAGCGTCAGTACTCCTACATTCTTGGACTCGATGCGTTTGGGGGACTTTACTCTCGGCAACAAAGCGCCTCGCATTGAGAGCGTCCGGACGTCGCCCAAGACAGAAGATGACGTCGTCATGATGGACTGGACCCTCTCATTTATTCCCAACGATGTCTCCAATATGACCCCGAAACAAGCGGAAAATAAAGTCAATCCAAAAATCGTGCTCCAGGTTCGCCTTGGCAAAGGCCTAGCGACCGCCTCCATGCCAATTCTGGTTGAAGATATCACGTTCAAGGGCTCTATAAAGCTTCGACTGAAATTGATGTCTAACTTCCCACACGTCCAAGTTGTCGACCTTTCTTTCGTAGAAAGGCCTGTGATTGATTTCGTCCTTAAACCAATCGGCGGTGATACGTTCGGGTTTGACATTGCGAACGTGAGCCATATCACCGTTTGCTCAGTGATACTTCTCTCACTTCCTATAGATACCCGGTTTAAAAAACTTCATCCATGAAATGACACATGCAACACTGGAGCCAATGATGTATGCTCCCAATGTGTTCACTCTCAACCTCGAACAGATGCTTTCGGGCAAGCCGCTCGATGCTGCCATTGGCATTGTCAAAATTACCTTGTATGCAGCCCGAGGTATCAAAGCGTCGGGGATGGGTACACCCGACCCATATGTCAGCATTAACATTCAAAATCGCCCGGAGGTTGCTCGCACAAAGTATAAGCACAACACGTAAGTGTTTCTCGGCTTCCTCAGGCACATCAAATAGCTTCTTCAGGTTAAATCCAACATGGACGGAAACGAAATTCATTGTGGTCAATAATCTGGACGAAGACATGATGTTGAATGTTTATGATTACAATGATCACAGGAAAGATGCGTTGTTGGGCGCTGCAAAGTTTAGTTTGAAAGCTCTGCAGGAAGATGCGACACTGGAAAACATCACATCTCAGTTGCTGAAGGATGGCAAAGACAATGGGGAGATCAGATTTGACATCTCGTATTATCCAGTCCTGACACCGGAGGAGAAGGATGGTCAACTGCCTGATTCAAGTCAGTTTCACTACTAATCGATGCATGTGGAATTCGTTTGCTGACGTTTTGCGTAGACGTAGGAATAGTGCGCCTCGTCATCCATCAGGCTAAAGAACTGGATAACTCAAGATCCTTGTCTGGCGAGCTCAATCCGTTAGTAAAAGTGTACATCGAGATGGACAAGTCTGCGTATAAGAGTCCCGTGAGGAAGCATACAAATAATCCAATTTGGGAAGCGCCGTATGAGTTTCTTTGCACGGAAAAAACATCATCGAAACTTGTCATCCGCGTCATCGACGATCGCGATTTTTCGAAGGATCTCGAGGTTGGGCACATGGCAATCACCTTAATGGACCTCCTTGCTTGTACAGGTCAGGCAGGGAAAGACTGGTTCCCGCTAAGCAACTGTAAATCGGGCAAAATTCGTGTTTCTGCCGAGTGGAAGCCTTTGAACATGGCTGGCGCGCTGCAGGCTACTGAGAAGGGCAAGCAGCCCATTGGCGTTGTGCGCCTTCATTTGGACAGAGCCACTGATGTCAAGTCCGTGATATTATATTATCCTTGAATAGAACAGTGACTGACCTGCTTATAGAAATGTAGAGGCGGGTCTTGGTGGCAAGGTTAGCGCAGGTTTTACACTGACGATTGTCTGTTTAACCTATTTCTAGAGTGATCCGTACGTTAGGGTTTTGGTTAACGGAGTCGTCAAGGGTAGGACAGAGGTTATCAATAATAGTGGGTTTTACATCTTATTTTCCACCGATCGTCTTCTCACTAGTTTATAGACCTCAATCCTGTATGGGACGAGATTATCTATATACCAGGTAAGATTGAACTTGATTGAAATATCGTGATCTAATCTGACCTTTTCTCCAGTCCATTCATTGAAAGAGGTATCTATTTGACAATATGCCTTGTCAGATAAATCTTGATGAATTAACTTTAGACGCTACTTTTGGAATGCATGGACTATCAACACTTGACAAAGGTAGACTTGATGACAGCCGAATTATCCAATGCATTCTGACTCCAAACAGGACCGCCCCTTGGGGTCTGTTGAAGTCAACGTATTTGGACTTGCTACCACGTCCGAGGATCCACAATATCCGTACAAATCAACGGGAAAGAAAGATATAGCCGACAAGATCCTTGTGGAGCGAGACCAATACAAGGGAGTCATGCACTATACTGCGACGTTCATTCCTTCTATG